GTTTGAATTGTAACAAGACCGGAAAGAGTAGATCCTTGACAATGTTTGCACAGTCAATCTTGAACTCCACTAATTTCTAAATTTTTACTCTAATAATGTTATTCTATTACAACTGTAACCTCTTGAGCACTAGTATCAGCTTGGATTTCTCAGCTAGCTCAATTGCTGCTTAGTTTTTAAATCACTCTCGTGAACTTTTAGAATCTACAATTTAACAGCAGTCCTAATGTTTCTGTTGAGAAAACTATTGCTTAGTGGGGTTTTCACTACCACCACAAGTATATTTATCAATTAAAGCATTCACTCCTTGTATAGCATTTGGTATAAAAAGGTTCTTGTGCAAAAATTCTTGAGTTTCTCTGTACAGTTATGAAAATGCAAGTCTTCATGTAGTGTTGGATTTGAGTTAAAGAGAGTTTTCATGGGAAAGAGATTGATGTAATTTTTAACAATGACATCAAACCATTGAAGAGACAACAAGATGCAAAAAGCATATAGAAAGTTAGTGAACATTTAAGCTAGGGTCTGCCTCAAATGGTATTTCAGAAAAGAAAAGAAAGAAAATGGAACTTCATTTATTTCTTTTTAACCCTGGTACTCTCAGGAGTGACCTAATAGGATTTTCTCCCAACACCTGGGGGAGATGTTCTAAGATTTCACATCAAACTCACTGAGCTAAAATCATGAGAAATGGCCGATGGTGTGAAGCATTTGAAAGAAGTAAGCTTACTAATTTTGTGTATGGCACAATAATGACGATTTATCTCTTTGCTAAAAGGCAAAAGTCGTTAAAAAATCCAAAACAATTATATATTCAATTGCATAATTATTAAATGCAAAACAACAGCATAACATGGAAGTTCAGTTCTTTCCAAAATTGGATAAATTTTGTAATCAGTTTTTTCCAGTTGATCATTGTTACATGTACTTCTTGGTAAGATTAATTTTGTTTTTTTGATGCAGGACAGAAGATTACCTCTAGAAAGTCGCATATTCAATACAAGCAGTTACAGTGTAATCATGTAAATTTTGGTTTGGAAGATCTGAGAAAAAAAGAGGCCAAAAAAAGTCTTGCATAATAAATTTTATCAGCACTTCAATTGCACAAATGCAAATAGCCTTCATAAAATATTACATGACCATCATGCCCCAAGTAAACTAATAGATAATAATTATTATTAATAAAAGAGGATCGCACCCTCTCATTAACCTGAACGTGAACCATGTACATTTCTAATAGTGTGATAATAACTGTAGTTCGCACAATTTGAAAATTGGAATCAGGACACAATCAATAGAAGATTTTTTCTCTGCCAGAACACTGCTGACATTTTTAGATTTAAGATATGTTAATACTTGAATTTACTGCAGATTGACATAATGGAGCTAAATTTTTTACCTTATATTATTACAATCTAAGCTCAAGTCTTGATATTTGATGCGTTGTTGTTTACACCAAAGGAAGTAGTTGTAAATTTTACTATTCTGAAACTACTTGTAGGAACAATGATACATGGTTATAACATCCATACTTTGGATATCACCCTAAGGCTGGAAAATTAACTAACTTTCACCTTTCACCAACAAAATAGCATACTGACCATTTTATACAAAAATCACTATTGACATTACATTACTATAGATTCTAAAGCATCTTCGTTTGAGCGTGGATTTCTTGTTTGAGCCTTATCAAAGATGAAACTGCCTCAGGCGTGGTCACCTTGTAACCAAAAAGTGACGTAGTTGTTCCACTGCAACAGACAAAAATTTATGAATAAATATATCAAGAATAAATTTAGAAGTACTCTTAATTCTTTGTCATTGATAATCTTCTTAGTAAGAAATTATACTGAGACAATTTTTCACCTACAGAGCAATCATGTGGATTTGCTGACAGCCTGTGAGGTTTTAAACCTCTATGGCTTTGATTGTGATGCATCACTCTCCTGAGGGAGAGTGGAAGCATACTCTTCTGGGAAATTGTGAAAAAATTAAGGTAGCTTAGACATGTGTTCCTTTTTTCTGACCAACAATTTCTTTTGATGGCGAGCAAGGAGTAAATTATTTTAAAGGTGGGTACTTAACTAAAGCAAAAGTTTACCCTCTCAAAATCAACAATTTAAATCAGAAACCTTACATGGGTGAGAAACAGTAGTTTTAGTTGGAGAGTGCAAGATTAAATTTGTTGGTAAGAGTCTCGCACTTAATGGGCAAGACTTCAGATCTCTGCAACTCAAGCTTTGTGAATATTTTTGTATTGATTAACAGGCAAGTAAGGTAGAAAAACAGTTATAAAGGACTAAGACAAGAAGGTTAACCTACCAGTTGATGAACTCATGGGCAGGAGACCACCGGCGATCAGAGCTGGGCCCACATTCAGAAAAAGACTTTACATTCAAGCTTTTGACAAGACTGTTTTTCCGCAATTGTCTTAGAGCAGTGATGTCTGAATAAAAGTAATGATGAAAATTGGTTAATAGAGATGATAAATTTATGGCCATCTAGGTAATGGAATTCCAGGTCAAGTTTTGTTCAGGCAAGTCAGACATCTTACTGCGTATGTGCTATTTGCAATTTGCACTTGTATTCAACTTTTCACTTGAGTTAATCAAAAAATGCACTTGTTTTCTGCCAATCAGATACACATAATTTTTTCAAGTATATTATTATATTTCTACTAAGGATTTTGAAAATTTTAAATTAGTCTATCATTACTTAAAAGTATGCATAAAAATGATAATGACAATTGGCTACTTGAAATGCACTATTTGCAGCTTGGAGATCAAGTGAACAAGGTCAGAGTCTCCTGAACTCATGCCTAATAAAGATGTCTGGTTTAAATTTCCATTACCCTTGATTAAAAATCTCTCCTTAATTATTACAATTAAAATTAATTTTATAAGCTATTTTCTAATTCATGAGCTGCACATATGCAGTGTTAATGAAGGGTGTTTTATCCATCAGCAAACTAAACTATATTTTTATTTTTCTTGTGGCTGGTATGATATCAATTTGATATGCGTTTCATTTTATTCAAATTTAAACAGAGCTTAAGAAGACCTACTAACTCTCTACATGACCTATTAAGACTGTTAAATTCTCCAAACCAACATCTCAAGAACTACATAGCAGACAGTAGGGAGAATTACTACATGAGATCTTGAGAGTTAAAGAGTTAAGTTTCACCTGGTTTCCTGTTGCATTCAGCGTAAATCCTTGCACATCTCTGCGCAGCAGATGATTTCTGTTCCTCTTCCAAGCCCTCAATCACAGCTATTCTATCTGCTACCTCAGTTGAAGAACAAGCAATGATATTGTCGCCATGAACCTGAAATAAACACAACATTGAGAATTATTAAGTTTTCAAAGGAAGAGATATATCAACCTTTAACTCCCAAGATCTCACCAGCAATTCTCCTTACTACCGGCCATATAATTCTTGATGTAGTTCAGAGAATTTGGTATTGGATCAACTAATAATCCCCTAATTGATCTTGTTCTTTATTCTCATTGCTAGTCTGCTTGATATTGTATTAATAACGTCAGAGAAATTCTCTTTTGGTCACTCATTGGAGTTAAAGGTTTGACAGTATACAAAACAGTTAATGTTTTGAATGTGGGGGAGGGGGAGGAGGGGGGTATTTGATCACATGGTCTAATAATTGAGCGGCTAAACTGATGATGACTTCTGCCAAGGATGTCAATCACTATTACTGACAACAGTCATTCTTGGATCAAAATGGAATTAGACTGTGTTTTTAGAAATTGTGGTGCTGTGTTGGTGAGGGATTATAGCAATTATAATTTTGGCATTATCGACTGAGCTGATAATGTAAATTGGCCACGGCTCTGACAAAGGGCTAACACTCAAAACATCAGCTTTGAAACTTTTTACAGTGGCCAATTTACATTATTGACTCAGTTACTAATACCACAATTAACTTTTGAGAACTACCCTTGCAGAGAGGATCAGAGTACACCATCACTAGTGTAACAGGGAGCTGGATTCCATATGATTTTAGGTCCTACTTCAAGTCCTGGTCAGGGTTATTGAGTTGTATTTTCTTGCCCAAAAATCTTTTCCTTTATTTTTTCAGTCTGATATTGAGTACTAGCTAGCCTAATAAAACACCAGGGAATCCTCTACTATACACAGAGCATCCCACAAAAGAATATTAGCAAAACTCCTTATTCCTACATGAAGGCTTCAAAATCAGGAAAAGCCTAGATAATTGTGCAAGTCTATTTTCATACGAGAAGAATACCTCTAAGACACTGTTATGTGCTTGCAATGAAAAGGTTTTTCTTACCACAACACTGCTCTCAACAAAATCATCCATCAAAAGATGACTCTCCAGTTTGAGGCTATCAAATGGTGGAAAAAATCCTTTCTTTTCCAATTCACTCATTACTTCTTTATTTCTTGAATTCCAACCACATGCCTTCGCTAATATCACCCTGGCCACATCCTTAGCATTACGCAGACGACACTTGTTTCCGTCGTTGTCAAGTATGGCCACACCTTTGTAAATGAAGTCCTGGGCATAAGTGCAGCTCATGGCATTTTTTTGTCCTGTTTGAATTAGAAATAAGAGTAGAAAGGGTGTCAGGCAATATGGAGAATATTCCTGAAATTCTTTGTTCCATCTGACAAAATTTCCTTCTACAAACTAGGTCACATTGATTTAATTTGTTTATTTGGAAACAATGCTTAAGGATAAGTTTGTTAGACAGACTTAGCTTGTCACAGTAACTCAAAGGTAGATCCAGTTTTTTATTTTGACGGCAGATCAAAACTTTGATACAGGTCTGCAGGTAAGATGGGGAAGGGGAGGGGGATGCTATGTCCCAAAATAGAGGTTAACTCATACCATTCAAAATGGAAGGCCACTCTGTTTTCCTGATCTCTAATTCCTCCATCAGTTTTGTTCTCCTTTCATTTCGCAAGAACAGTTCCTGTGCTGATCGGTGCTCCATATCATAGACTCCAGTCTCCATATTCAGTTGTCCATGTCGTGTGTAGTGAAGTATGTCATGGTTGAAATGTTCCTTAATAGTTTCCATCAACTTCGTGGCATTTTCTTCCAGGACATGAGTGCACTTGATGGCTGATGGTAACCTGGAGAGAGATCTGTAGTTTCAACACCAATTACTATCTATTAAAATAAGTATATAGAGAGAGATCTGTAGTTTCAACACCAATTACTATCTATTAAAATAAGTATATAGCAAGTTTGGATCAATATCAGTATCTGGGCAACTGCCCACCTACCCCTCCCCTAACCCAACATTAACCCTAACTTGTTACCAATTGGGTTAGGGGAAGGGTAGGCAGGCAGTTGTCCAGATACTGATATTGATCTGTAAGGTTTATCACTAAACATGTAATGTCTGGCTAAAATTTCATCAATATAGCATAAAGGTTCCTTATAAATAACCAAAGATTTTGGTAGAGATTACCAATATATGAGATGCACGTAGTCCTTAGTTTGTACACAGGGCCATATTATTAGTCCTTTGGCACAAGCATTTTTACACTGGAAAGTTCTTTCTGGTAAGATCCTTGGCAGACCTCTTGCCAACCCCAATTTGATTGATGCATGCTTAATATTCCTGATTACCTCATACTTTGGAGACCACTAGAAGATCTGCCTGGTTGTAAGCCACTTGGCTTGAAAGTAGAGTTTACCTTTACCATTTCAACTGATAAGTAATTCAAACACCTTACCTGTAATCGTAGCGAGCTCTACACCCCTTACACCGAGATGACCGTGCCTCGATTTCTGCCATTAGCAGCTTCTGCCTTGTCTCCTGCCTATTCTTCCATCCAATCAACCACTTTGCAGCATCCTCCGCTGATTGTTGTGGAGCATACTGGTAACTTGCAGGAGTACTAACATATGGCATGCACCTTGCATCAACAGTTTCTATATCACTATAGGAGCTGTTCATACTTTCAAGGGCTCGTAAAACCTCCCTCTCTCGCTGAACCAAAGCACATTGTTTCTCTGCTTCCCTCATGTTCTTCTGCCGTTGTTTGTGATTAAGTCTGTCTTGCAGTGCTTCTCTACTTCCATATTTCCTTCTCGCAAGAGTAACAAGATCTGATACTAGGAACTCATAAGAGTCATTGTCAATCGTCCTAAGATCTCTCTCAGTGAGACTAAATTGCTCCTATTGGAGAAAAAAAAAGGAGTTTTTGCTTGTAAAAATGTAAGTATCAGCTTAAAGATGAGAAGGAAAATTTTTCACTGATAATATATTAAGAAATATGGTAAATTTTGAGCGTGGTAAGGAAATAAAGATGATATTTGCCTTAAATGTTACAAGCATGAGGCAAGGGTAAAAAATCTAAAGCATGCAGAGTTGCATCCTAATTCCTTGTATTCTCTGATACTTACTAAGCTACAGATAAAAAGGTAGTGAGCTTAGTTGTTACTACAGGCAGGTTCAAATAAGACTGAGGTCTTAGCTTGCATACTGCAAGGATTGGAAATGTCAAAAACATTAAGATTATTCCATTCCCATGACAGGATGTAGAACTTTTCTCTGGTCTCTGCCAACTTCTCTTACATTCAACTATGGTCAACAATCAAGAAACAAGCTTATGCCCCTCTCTTCACAAGAGGACCATGCACGTCAGTCAGAAATACACAAAAACAAAAATGGAGCCTATATTAACATGCACTCCCTCTCCCCC